CAAAGACTTCATTTTGCTTGGGCTCACAATCAATACTCATGGAAGCAAAAGTCAAGAAATTGAACAATATACATTAGGCACATCTGTACAAGATATCTTTGAAGTATTGAAGAGCAAAGATAATAAGTTTGAGGATTAAGGTGTATGTGACTAAAGCCATGGTATTTCCAATTGCCTCATATGCATTTGAAATTTGGACTTGAATAAGGAATACTGTAGATAGAAGAACTGATGCATTTGGATTATGGTGTTGACAAAGAATATTAAAAGTACTATGGATTGCCAGAAGATCAAACAGATCTGTCTTGGAAGAAGTGCAGCCAGAAAACACCTTAGAAGCCAGGATAGAGAGGTTTCGCCGCTCATATTTTGGACATGTTATCAGGAGGGATCATTCCCTGGAGAGTATCATGCTTAATAAAAAGTAGGGTCAGTGAAAATGAGAAAGAGCCATGATGAAATTGATTGACACAGTGGCATCAGCAATAGGCTGAAATTTAACAATTGTGAGGAAGGCTCAGGACCAGGCCATGTTTTGTCTTGTGGTGAATAGGGTTGATATGAGTTGGAACTAATTTGATGACACCTAACAATAACACGCCATTTTATATTTCCACTAACAATGGATAAGTGTTCCTATTTCTCCGTATCCTCATTTTCACTTATTATTTTCTGTTTTTCTCACATCTTTGGCAACACTTGCTATTTTCCGTTCTTATTGTCTTATCTGTCCTAATTGGTATGAAGTAGTACTTCTTCTAGCTTTGATTTGCATCCCCCCTAAGATCATTGAAACAGCCCTGGTGCTGCAAAAGTCAGAGCTCTCAGATGCTTACCAAAGGTGAGTGATTTGATGCTTCTGGATCTGGCAATCGGTTCCTGTAAAGATTAGTCTAGAAAACCATATAGGACAGTTAGTTCTGCTCTGTCATATAGTGTTTGTATAAGTTAGAATTGACTTGATGGCAACAGCAGTCGCTAATGATGGTGAGCCTCTTTTCATGTAATGACCACTGTATAGCTCTTTCAAGTTCTTTACCCATATTTTAGGTAAACATTTGTTTGTCTTCTTATTGTGGAATTGTAGGAATTTGTTATATATTCTGAGTGTTACCTCTTTATCAGGTAAATTGTCCCCAAATATTTTCTGTCATTGTATAGGTTGTCTCATCACTTTGTCAATAAAGCCTTATGATAAAAGTTTTTAATCCTGATGAAGTCCAATTTATTTTTTATTGCCTGTACTTTTGGTGTTGTGTCTTAGAATCTGTTGTCAAAAACTAGTTCTTGAAGCTTTATCCATATGCTTTTTGTTAGGAGTTTTGAGGATTTAATTCTTATATATAGATAATTGCTCTGCTTTCTGTTAATTTTCATATACGGTATTAGGTATGCATCAGACTTCATTATTTTGCATGTAGAGATCCAATTATGTCAGTATTGTTTATTGAAGAGACCATTGTTTCTCCATTGAATGGACTTACTATTCTTGTCAAAAATCAGTTGATAACAGATGTGTAGGTTTATCCTTGGACTTTCAATTCTATTTTATTGGTCTGTAGACTTATGCTTATACCAGCACCACACTGTTTACATTTCTGTAGCTTTATAGTACAATTTTAAATTGGGAAGTTTGAATCCTTTTATTTCTTTTCGTAGATAGTTTTGGCCCCTTGCAATTGCGTATGAATTTGAGAAGTAGCTTTTTCAATTCTGCAGAAAAGATTTTTGGAATTTTGATAGGAATGGTATTGAGTCTATAAATAGTATTGCATAGTATTGTCATTTTAATAGTACTAAGTCTTACAATTCATGGCCATGGGAGGCTTTTAATTTGTAGTGACATAGTTTAATAACATTTCATCCTATTTCTGTGTTCTTAAGTACTTCTGGTTTTAAACACTTTTTTGATATTTCCTACTTTATCTCTTTTGTTGATATCAAACTAGTTGTATGTGTCTGTGTATGAGAGAGAGGGAGAGAGATAATTTGGCAGTTATGTTTCTGTTCTACTAATTTAACATAGTAATATATGTATGTGGGTGTATCGAATGCTTCAAATCTGTTGTTGAGATGATCTCTAAATTCAGATGAGATATGCTCATGGTCATGGTAGCGTAGTGGTTACGAATCAGGCTGTGAACCACAAGGTCAGCAGTTTGAAGCTACCAGCTGCTCCGCGGGAGAAAGATGAGGCTTTCTGCTCCTGTAAAGATTTACAGCCTCGGAAACCCTGTTCAGGGTCACTATGAGTCGGAACTGACTCAACGGCATTTAACAACAACAGCAATGCTCATGGTCATGTTTTGACTCTCGTGGACTTGTTTTAATTTTCTTCAGCTGCAGCATGATCTTGCATATGAGCAATTGATGGTCTGTTTTGCAGTCTGCCATTGGCCTTGTTTTGGCTGCTGATGTGGAGCTTTTCTGATTTCTGTGTATTCTATCTAGTCAACTCCATGTATATAATCGTCTTTTATGATGTTTCAAAAAGGTATTTGTGTTCACGTAGTGTGTGGAGTAGTAGGACAAGACCATGTGTAAATGGTCTGTAAAAGTCCAGGGTTGTGAGCTGTCTGCTACCCATTCTTTCTACATTCGGACCCCAACTTGGGCTGTAGTGAACACATGTCCGAGAGATGCACCAACACTACCTGGCCAAAGGTGACTTTCAAAGATGTGGCTGTGACCTTCACATGGGAGGAGTGGGAGCAGCCGAGCTTAGCCCAAAGGATCTTGTATTGGAGGTGATGCTAGAGACCCACAGGATTCTGGTGTCACTGGGTAACAGAGTAAACTTTAAGACCAGAGAACCAGCCTGCAGCTTCTCAGCCAGTCTTGTCTGATGGAAACTTCCTGCAGGGAAGCCTGATTCAGAGAGCTTCAAGAGACTCCAGGTTTGGGCAAGCCAGGGATCTGGAAAAGCAGAAAAAAATCATTGAGGTCACATACAAGAATACCCATACTGGAAAAATGAGTCTTGAAGATGATGGTTTGGTAGACTTCAGAATCTGCTGGCGAGGATGTAAAGAGACTGGAACCCTCCTACACTGCTGGTGGGATTGCAAAATGGTCCAACCACTCTGGAAAACAGTATGGCACTTTCTGAGAAAGTTGGAAATAGAAATACCTTATGATCCAGCAATTCCTCTGCTTGGTATATATCCACAAGAAATATGAGTCACAACACGAGAAGATATATAAACACCAGTGCTCATAGCAGCACTATTCACAATAGCAAAAAGATGGAGGCAGCCTAAGTGCCTATCAATGGAAGAATGGATAAACAAACTTTGATACATACACACAATGGAATATTATGCTACTTTGAAGAAAAACCAAGGACACTGCAAGCCACCGCATAACATGGAGTGAACCTTGAGGACATTATGCTGTGTGAAATTAGTTAGTCACAAAAGGACAAATATTGCATAAAACCATTATTGTAAAAGCTTAAGAAAAGATACCCATACTAAAAGGGGGGAAAAAAAAAAGCTTTGTTGGTTACCACTAAGGGGTGGGTTGGGGGGTGGAGGGAGTGGTTGGTAGAGCACAGAGTAGGGGATAGATACATCATAGTTTGGGTGTTGGGGAGGGCAATACAGAAGAAGGGGGAGGGGGATGGAAGAACAAGGTAGATAGAGGAACACTGAGGCTGGTTTGCATGGGCTGTATTTTAAAAAAGAAAAAAAAAATTAAAAAAAAAAACACAATAGGATGAATGCAAAACCAATGCTCTCGCATATAAACTATCACCCAATTCACAATAAAAGCTTTTAAAAAAAGTCTTTGTATGTAAAAAAAATGTATTTTGGATTCTATAATCAGGAGAACTGAGTGGCTGGAGTATAGGTAAAAAGTGACTTTTTATTTTAGAGGCTTATGTGCTTTTTGAATGTTAAATCATATCAGTATGTTTTTAATTTGAAAATTAGTTTAAAATTATTAAAGGAAACCGAATTTGGGGATCCTCTGACTCTAAATACATTTTTGGCCAAATCTGTGTACTTTTAGAATAATAAAGACATTTATCAATGTCTAGTTGTTTTCTAAGTGCTCTTTATTTTACTCCATCATTTCAGTGCTCTGATTTTGTATATGTCCTTGTTAAAGGTACTAACTCATAGCAACCCTGCATGGGGGGTTTCCAAGGAACTTGCTGGTAGGTTTGAACCTAAGAAAGTTAAAAATAGCAATTTAGTAATTTTTTAAATATATAGTTAGTGGTTTTTTTCCTTTAGTATAACAAAAGAGCAATTGTCACAAAAATCAGTCTTTCAGAAAACTGAAGAATTCCTAAGTTTGATTTGATTTCTTATTCTCAATAATGATGACTTTGATATCTTTTGCAAAATTTAACACTCATTTCTGTACCATATCTCATTTCACGAATTCATTTCTAGAACCATATAAGGTAATAATTTAGTTTTAATTGAATTGTCTGTTATTTTATCACTAATTATGATACTATAAGAGGTTTCATTTCATCAGTAAAGTTTTATTATTATTTTTTGAAAAAATTATAACTTTAAATGAGTTTCAAGTTTTATTACCAAATGCTCTGATATCATAATAATAACAAGATTATAAATGTGGTCCATTTATGTGAAATATTTTATCCATAGATAATCTTATTATTGAGTCTTCCTTGTTGTCCTGGGGTCTGCATTATCTAATCACTTTTGATTGAAAAAGTTACCTGTGATTATTTTACTTCAAACCTTCCCATCTCTATGCACAAGAAGGGGTAGACTGTAGTTTTATCTTTGCTTTTGGACATTGTATCATCTTGTCTTTTTGTAATCATTAATTCTGTCAGTTAGCTAATTTCGTTTATCCCCCCACCATATTTCAAAATAGAGAATGGGATTAGCTATTCTTTGAAAGTCTGAAAGAATTTATCAATGAAATCATCTGAGCCTAGATCTTTTTTTATGGAAACTTCTTTGTTAATGTGTTCAATTTTTCCTCATTCAGTAGTTCCCTTTTTTCTTTTCCAGGTCTGTAGAAACTTCCAGTGTGTAAATGCTTCTGTTCTGCATTATGACTGTGATATTCAAAAAAAGTGTCATGGACATGGGGTAGGTAATAATTTTCTTTGGTTTGTTCATGGAAGTAGTACTGAATAATCAGAATTCTGAGTTAGGATTAGGCGAGGCCTTCCAGGATTTTAGATATCTAGATGTTGAAGAGTTAGATATCCAATAAAATTTTCATTCTTAAAAAGAGTGTGTAAATTTCCACTGAGTAGTATCCAATCTGCCTGGGCAGGACTGATGAAGGAGATGGGGATAGCACTCATGTGGTACAATAGTGAATAATTAATATCAGGACTGACTGTGAGGGTTGAAAATGTAAAGGTGACGTTTTGTAACAACAGGAAGGAAGTGGTTGACTTTGCAAGCCAGGAGTGGAGGTCTCTGGGATGATCAAGGGAGAATAGTGGAGTGCGGGACCCTACGGAGAGAAACAGTGACGCCAGAGATGGAGGCAGAGATGATGACGTAGAGAGATGGAGTGGTTGGGGACTCTAGACCCAGATTGGGAGAGGGGCTGTGTGCTGAGGACCAGGGGGCAGGCTTGCGGCGTATACCCTTTGGTTGGTTGATGATGCACAGAGGAGATTGTAACCATGGAAATGTAAAAATGATGTACAGTAGGATGAGTGTAAAGCTAATGTTCTCCCATGTTATCACATAATTCATAATGAAACAGTTAAAAAAAGAAAAACTAAAAGAAAAAAAAAAAGGTCTATGAATTTATAAGAATCCTTTCTGTTGGTTTCCATTCTTGAACTAATGATACAGAGCAACATTCACAATTAACAAAAGTGGTATTTTCATTGTTTTGTAGATATGTAACAGCAATAAGAACTGTCATTGTGAAGATGGTTGGGCCCCTCCAAATTGTGAGAATAAAGGATATGGAGGAAGTGTGGACAGTGGACCTACGTACAATGGCAAGTTATACATGAATTTTGTGTTTCTTTAGAGGCCCAAGTTAGAAACCTCATGCTTCTCTCTCTGTTTTTACATCAGTTGAAAATTAAATTATGTTGATTCTGCCTCAGTTCCTCACCAAAGTTTTCATCCCCATTTATTACTTTCAATTTCTTGCCTGAGCTTACATATGTTGTTGTTGTTGTTAAGTGCCGTCGAGTCGATTCTGACCTATTGCGAGCGTACATATACAGCTTCTTAATATGGTCCTCTGTTTCCCATCTTGTTTTCTATACTCCACATTTCACACATAATAAAGAGTTTAGTGTTTTCCTTCAAGGAGTCACTTTAAATTGAGTAATTCTTTTATTTTAATTTGAATCATTCTTCATTGCTAGTAGAAAGAAATGCAGAGACACTTAATGTGGCTTATAAGGTGCTACATGATTTGCCCCTCGCCTACTTTTCCAACTTCATTTCTCTGTAATATAATTTTCGCTGACAGGCTCTTCCTTACCTCTGAAACTTCGGGCCATGTTATTTACACATGGTTGGATCTCTGATAATTGTTATCTAGGTTGCAGTTTATACGTAATTTTTTCTAAAAAGTTTTCTCTGATACCCTAAATATGCATTAATATGCTCCTTCTATTTGCTCTCCCCGTACTCTTAACAGTATTGCATACTAGAGTAATCGCCTATTTACTTATTTTTATTCCCTGGTAGATTATGAGCTCCTTGTTTACCATTATATTCCTAGTGAGAACATGCGCTTTCTTTCTCTTGTGTAAATGCTAGATGAAATAGCCAGTTCATATGGTAAGTTCCTGTTTAACTTTTAAGAAACTGCCAAACTGTTTTCAAAAGTAGTTATACCATTTTGAATTTTCATCAGCTGACTTCTAGTTCCTCAACATCCTCATCAACACTTGGTGTGACCAGTCTTTTAAATTTTAGCCAGTCTAAGAAGTATACAGTGGTATTTCAGTGTGGTTTTAATTTTTGCTCAATGGTGCACCTGCTCATTCTTTGAGGGTAGCAAGGATTGTCCTTTGAGAATTCCATTGGGAAACCTTACCACTTAGTATTTCCTAAATTCTGTGAGTTCTGAAGAATTATGTAGAAAGCAGCAGATCAGAAGTGAGGGGGAACTAGGGACCCCAAAGATTATGACTGGCATCCAGTAGCCTAGTGGGAAACCCCTTAAGTTTGTAGCCAGCAGGTCAGAAGTGAGAGTGTTGTAAGAAGAACCTAAGTTTGCAACTGGTGTCTGAAGTTCTGGCAGACTTGGCAGCGTAAAAGACGTTGTCTTTTAATTTATGACGTTAGCTAACTCTGGGTGGTAAGCACTGCATTTATAATTGGGATAGGAATTGAAGTCTTTAGGAATAGACTGAAATCTATTGAAACAATTGTGCTTTCATTTTCAGCTCAAAATATTTCTAATCTGATTTTTTTCTCTGACCATGGATTATTTAGAAATTGTTATTTTATTTCCAATTATGTTGTTGTTGTTAAGTGCTGTTAAGCCAGGTCTGACTCACAGCGACCCTTTATAGGGTTTCCAAAAAGTGGCTGGTGGGTTCGAACTACTGACCTTGTGGTTCCAAACCGACCTTGTGGTCCAGTGCATTATCCTGTAGCATGGAAAATGGAATTAAAAGTAATGGATATTTTCCATGAACATTTTAAGCCCCGTCATATTTGGATGTTTCTCTGATGTCTTAAAGTTGATGATTTCCAATTTTATACTATTATAGACAGAGAACATATTTTGTATTACTGAAATCCATTTAACATTTTTTGAAGCTTGTCTTAATACCTTCAATTTGGCTATCTTGGTAAGTTGTTCTGTGTACATTTGAAAATAATGCATATTTTACTATTGTATAGAGTGTTCTCTGAGTATTAATTAGGTCAAGTTGTTTGTTTGATTGGCATTTAAATCTTACATACTTTTACTATTTTTCTGTCTACTTTTTCTGCCAATTATTAAAAAGAGAATATTGAAATCTCTGGCTATCGCTACAATATTTGTCTGTTTCTCCTTGCAATTTTATAAGCTTTTGTTTCATGCATTGTGAAACTAGAGCCCTGATGTGGCATTGTAAGATAAGCACTGGACTACTAAACGCAAGGTTGGTGGTTGAAACCCACCAGCCACTCCTTGGAAAACCCTATACAGAGTTGCTATGAGTTGGAACACACCAGACTCAAAGGTACTTTAACAATTGTGAAACTCTTACTAGGCACACAGACTCTTAACATTGTTCTGGCCTCTTGATAAGTTGAACCTTTTATCATAATGAAATAACTCTCTTTATTTCATTGTGTGGATTAAAGTTTCATGTGAGATATCCTTAAATTTCTGCTTGAAAGACTTCTTTTTCTACATTTCTTATAATGCAGGTCTGCAAATGAAAATTTCTTTTGTATCTCTAAATTTGAAGAAGTCTTTATTTTATTTTGTTTTCTCAAAGATAATTAAAAAGGTTAAATAATTATAGGTGACCTTCCCCCCACTTCTTTACTTCTTCAGAGATGTTGCTACGTTGTCTTCTGGCTTGTATTTTTTATCTGAGAAATCTACAGTTGTCCTTTTTTATATTCTTTATGAAATGTTACCTTTCTCCCCTTCTAGCTGCTTTTAAGTTTTTTTTTTTTCATTGGTTTCAGACAATTGATTATAATTTGCCTTAGTGTGCTTGGAACTTCTGAGGCTTTTGAATCTGTGGTTTTGGGTTTTTCTTCAAATTTGGAAAGTTTTCGGCCACTATTTATTCAAAAAAATTTTTTTTTTCTTCTCGCCTCTCCTTCAGGGACTCCAGTTATTTAGTTACAAGGCTACTTGCAATTTCCACATGTCACTGACTCTGTGTTTTTAATTTGGAATAGAATTTGCTATTATGCAGGTGTACTCTTCTTCTGCAAGGTCTAATCTACCATTACATTAATTCCATCTAGTGTATTGTCCAACTCAGGCATTATTGTTTTCATTTCTAGAAGTCCCATTTGTGTCATTTCAAATATTTTCATGTTCCCCATTCTAATGAAAGGTGACCTTAGAGAATGTAAAAATTATTGACCAATGTCATTAATATCACATGCAAGTAAAATTTTGCTGAAGACAATTCAAAAGCAATTGCAGCACTACATTGACAGGGAACTGTTAGAAATTCAAACCAGATTCAAAATATGATGTGGAATGAGGGACATCATTACTGATGTCAGGTGGATCTTGAATAAAAGCAGAGAATACCAGAATACCTATAATTTATTGACTATGCAAATGTGTTCTACTGTGGGGATCATAACAAACCATGGATAGCATTAAAAAGAGTGATAATGTCCAGAACACTTGTGTTCATGAGGAACCTGTACATAAACAAATAGACAGTTGTTTTAACAGAACAAAGGACTACAACATGTTTTAAAATCAGGAAAGGTGTGCAGTAGTGTTTTATCTTTTTATACTTATTTTATCTGTATGCTGAACAAATAATTTGAGAAGCTGGATTATATGAAAAAGTATGTGGCATCAAGATTGGAGGAAGATAACACAGCCTTGCTTGCTGAAAGCAAAGAGGACTTGAGGCACTTGCTGATGAAGATCAAACAATATAGCATTCAGTTTTTAGTATACTCAATATAAAGAAAACAGAAATCCTCACAACTGGACCAATAAATAATATCATGATAAATGGAGGAAAGATTGAAGTTGTCCAGAATTTTATTTTGCTTAGGTCCACAATGCGACGGGGGAAGAGCTGCCTCCTTAAAGTAGAGTTGACCGTGATGATGCAAATGGAGAAAAGCCCATGGGAGAAAAGCCCACAGGACCTTCGTTTGCTAATGGGGCACAACTCAAAATGACGAGAAACAGCTGTAAACATTCATTAATAATCAGAACATGGAATGTACAAAGTATGAATCTAGGAAAATTAGAAATTGTCAAAAATGGAATGCATAAACATCGATATCTTAGGCATTAATGAGTTGAAATAGACAAAATGGTATTGACCATTTTGAATCTGACAACCACCTGGTTTACTATGCCGGGAATGACAAATTGAAGAGAAATGGTATTGCATTCATCGTCAAAAAGAACATATCCAGATCAGTCATGAGGTACAATATCCATGCGCCTACCGGGAAGCCCAGTTAATACCACTATTATTCAAATTTATGCACCACCCACTAAAGCCAGTGAGGATAAAATAAAAGAATTCTACCAACGTCTTCAATCTGAAATTGATCAAACATGCAATCAAGATGTATTGATCATTAGTGTGATTGGAATGCAAAGGTTGGGAGCAAAGACGAATGGTCAGTAGTTGGAAAATATAGCCTTGGTGATAGAAATGATGTTGAAGATTGCATGATAGAATTCTGCAAAATCAATGATTTGTTCATTTCAAATACCTTCTTTAGACAGCATAAGAGACGACTATACACATGGATCTTGCCAGATGGCAGCATCAATGGGCTCAAGCGTGGCAAAAATAATGAGGTTGGCCCAGGATCGGGCAGTTTCATTCTGCTGTGTATAAGGTTGCTATGAGTTGCTACTGACTCGATGGCACGTAACAACAACAACGAAGTCCACTGCTATGGCTAAGGTTTTCAGTGACTAACCATTCAGAAGTGTTATGATTCTCCTTCTTCCTAGTCTATGTTTGGAAGCTCAACTAAAATTTCTCCACTATGGGTGGCCCTGCTGGTACTTAAAAATACTTCTAGCATCACAGCAACACTAAAACTGCCACAGTATACTAAACTGACAGATGAATGGCGGGTGTATCAGTTTGTTGTTGTTATGTGCCATGGAGTCTGTTCTGACTCATAGCGACCCTGCACAGGGTTTCCGAGGCTGTAAATCTTTACAGGAGCAGAAACCCTCATCTTTCTCCTGTGGAACAGCCGGTAGTTTCGAACTGCTGACCCTGAGGATAGCAGCCCAATTCATAACCACTATGCTACCAGAGCTCCTTGGTGTATCAGTAGGACACTGGTTATGTAAAACAATAGAGCTTCATTTGAATGGAGTTTTTTATGAATGTATGGAAAATGAACATGTCCTCTGTCTTCATTTAGAAAGACAAACAGTAAGTGGAAAAAGTAAGGTGAAGAACAGTGTTTTTATTATGCCACTTTTTGCATTTCATTTGGGCAGTGTTTCATTCTGTTGTGCATAGGGTCGCTATGAGTTGGTACCAACTCGATGGCACCTAAGGACAACAACCAACTTTTTGTGAAAGTGTTGACAATGAAAACATACTTGGTTCTTACAGTTGTATAAAGAAATACTGTAAGGTTATATAAAACTAATGAAAGTGATTATATTGGGTATGCGGAAATAGAGTGGACAAAGATGAAGGTGTGAGTGAGATTTTGCAGTAATTTTCTATGTTTGAATTTTGAACTATGTGACTGTGTTACCTATTAAAAATTTAATGTAAGAACATTTATAATGGTGTATAGTATACTCTAGGTAGTATGAATTAGCATCAAACTTAATGACTCTCAATATAATTTTTTTTTCTCTCTAGAAAAGGATACTTCACTGAGAGATGGACTTCTGATATTCTTCTTTCTAATTGTTCCCCTTATTGTTTTTGCTGCTTTTGTATTCTTCAAGAGAGATCAATTATGGAAAAGCTTCTTCAGAAAGAAGAGATCACAAACATATGAGTACTTAGAATTTTTTTTCTTTTCAAATTTATATTTAAATAATTTAAAGTAATAACTTAGAGGCTGACATTCTTTTAATAATAAGGTTCTTAGTTCAATCTTTAATCTTCTGAGATGATTGGCAGTGTTTAAAATGTATTGAAGGACTGTCCCATTAAAAAACCCTCTGTGGCTGTCTCAGTTGTAACACATAGTGATCCTATAGGACAGAATAGAACTGTTCCATAAGGTTTTAAAGGTGTAATCTTTGTGGAGCAGATTGCCACATATTTTACACGTGGAATGGCTGGTGGTTAGAACTGCTGCTCTTAAAATTAGCAGCTGAGTGCCTCATCAGGCATCATCAATACTCGTTTTAGTGAAGGTCCCTAGGTAGTGCCGATGGCTTATGCTTGGCTGGTAGCCAGAAGGTTGGCACTTTGAATACACCCAGTAGCTCGATGGGAGAAAAGACCTGGTGATCTGCTTCTGTAATGATTATAGCCAATAAAACTATAAAGCACTTCTACTCTGTTAACACATGGGATCTCCATGGGTTGGAACTGACTTGATAGCAAAAGATAGTAACAACAGTAAAATGTAGTGGTGACCACACCACCTGTTGTGATGGTGAGGAGAAAGGACCTCCCTATGTAATTTTTGATTGTGGGATAAATACAATTTTTATTTATGACTTCTAATTTAGGCTTCCTAATTAGCAATTATGGATTGCTGGTGGCACAGTGGTTAAGTGCTTGGCTACTAATTTAAAGGTTTGTGTTTTGAACCCACCCAGTGGCTCCATGGGAGAAAGACTTGGTGATTTGCTTTTGTAAAGATTATTGTTGCTAAGTGCCGTCAAGTCGGTTCTGACCCATAGTGACCCTGTCTAGGGTTTCCGAGGAGCGACTGGTGAGCTTGAACCACCGACCTTGCAGTCCAGCACATTAACCCACAGTGCCATACCAGGCTGTAAAGATTATAGCCTAGAAAATGCTATGGAATAGTTCTTTCTCCTTTGTCACATAGGGACTCTGAGTTGAAAATTGACTTGGCACCTAACAGCACAATAATTAGAGATTAAAATATGGGAGAAAGGTGAAAAAAATTTTATTCCACATCTTTATCTCAAGAATCAGTACTCAAAGATGAAAACATTTAAAAATCTCAGTTTTGAAAACAGATTTTGTGAATTATAAGCTTCTAAGAAATAGTTTTTGCTTGAAGAAATTTATTGTTGTCATTATTCAAAGATTTGATATATCAAGTCTGTGTGTTAGATTCTCACACATTTCATTTATTCTTATGGATTTGACTATCAATTCTAATGAGATGGTATTAAAATGCAATGCAGACCTCTGACTCAGATCTGAATTTAAGTTCCTGGTAGAGTCATTTGCTAGAAATACCATCTGGAGCAGTAAATAAGTCTCTTTGACCCTGAGTTTCCTGCCCCTAAAATGGGAATAGTAATAGTACCAATTTTGTAGGGTTGATGTGAGGATTAAATGAGGAAATTTGCTTTGCTGGCACATTGTAGCTACTTAAGAACTAGTTGTTAATGTTGTTAAAGTAATGGTTTCCACATATACCTTGATTGCTTACCTTTGCTTAATTGCCCTATTTCTCACTTTTTTTTTTAAGTATATAATATTTTTCAAGACATTTTTATTTCTGCCCTTTGTCTCACTTCCTAGCACTCTTTAGACTGACCAATTCATGTAGACAATTCCCCAATCTGCATATCTGATAGTTTCAGAACTACAGTAATACATCTCTGCCTAGCTTTCTTGCTGTCACCTGGCTATCTAAAACTCAGCGTATGTCTTTCCAGCCAACTAGTTTCCTCCTCCCACACATCCTAATTTTCAGTTAGTACTTCCAGTTTTATGCATGTAGTCTAAGATTATGTTTTTACTCTTCTCAGATTTTAGGACGACTCAAGGAGGAAATTTGGGAGCATTGATTGTCTAATTGACCACATTTCATAATTAATTAGAATTTAAGTTTCTTTAATTGTAAAATGAGGTTAATCATGCTTTCTAATACTGTAAAGGTTTAAAAATGGGTGAAAGGTATTAAAAGTACTGTACAGATTTCAGTTATCAATATGATTGTCGTAACCAGCATCAGATTCTGTATTTGGGAAAGTATGAGGTATGTGTAACATGTCATATACTTTTTAAACTTTTAGAAAAAAATAATTTTATCTTTTAGATCAGATGACAAAAACCAAGCAAATGTCCCTAGACAACAAGTGAGTGCCCCTCGCTTTGCCTCTCCAGTGATTCCTCCCAGAGAAGCTGTAAGTTTAAAATGAAAAATTCATTGTTTTTTGCTATATTAAACTATTACATGTTTGACAATTTCATTATAAAATGATAATTGCTACATAAATTTAGGCATGATATAGATATTTCTCAAGAATTAAGGAACTAGAATTAGATAGTTCCTGGGTTAAAGGATTTTCAACTGTTCGCTGGCTCAGATGACAAGGGAAAAAGCCATCCAGACATTAAAAATGTCTTGCCTTGAAACCAAGAGGGGGAAATGATATGAAACATGTGATATATATATATATATATATATATATATA